TGGCCGGCGCTGTGTCACTTAAAGACTGGTTGCCGGCACTCTGCGCAAGTTTACCCAACTGACTGACAGGAGCCCTGCCATCACACGGTTTTTGAAGGGTTTTGGCTCCCGTAGCATGCTGTGGGCGCTGCAACCTGCCACACTTAGCACACGACCACTGCACTCCCATGTTGATCATGTCATGCGAGCTGTGAATATTCCATTGCTGCAAAGGGTCGCCTCGACCCTTACACGGGTGATGCATAAGGCGATCGAAGCTGGGCAGATCGTTGATTTGCTGCAGGTACAATCCACAAATTGCACACTTCATGGTCATGTTGGTGGAGCCCTCGGCTCCCTTGACCCACTGGTGACCCAGTGAATCCTCGTCGCCTGAAAGCCTCGCCAACATTCTCTGCTTCTTGTTGAGAGGTTTGGTGGCCTTGGCAGCACCAGTCGAAGCGCAAGAGGTAACCTCAGGTGTAGGGACACTGCAACCTGTTTCCTGTGGCAACCTACCCTTGCCTTTAGAAAACGCAGGGTTAGGGAGAACTTTATTGCAAGAAGAATCACCAGACTCCTGTTTGCAACGTTGGAAAAGCCACGGAAACGATTTGTCATTTTTATGCAGAAGGATAAACCCAATTTTCCTAGCCAAGTGCAAACAAACCTCCTCCCAAAGCGTATCTATGCCGACTAGGTCCGGCTTGGTTGCAGCCTGAAACACCCCAGCAGCTCGCTTGCCACAGAGTGCATCAACATCTTCATTGACACGACGCCTCCATTCAGGAATGCCCCTATCAGCATAATACTTGGAATCTTTGTGACTGGGCACCCAGGTAATGCGAGCTCTAGCTCGCTCAGACCAAACCAAACCCCATGGAGTAGGTCCCTCAAGAGGCGGGGATTTTTTAGTTACAACCTGAGCAACAGCTTTGCAGTCAACCGTCAAGTCGAAGGTACCTGAGACACGGGCGAAAAGTTCATAGGCTGCTTGCTGCTCCGCACCCGCAACCGACAAGGGCCGCTGTGGAAAAGAGGTGATGCTCGCAACACGGCGGGCCCCATCCTCTGTGATCTCATAGGCCCCAATGGCCCAAGCCACACAAGCAGAACGAAGGTCCCGGGCCCCTGGGCCACCTGAAGCGTCTGAAGCAAACACCAGATTGTCACTGCTAAGTACTTGTTGTGTTTGCCACAAACCCTCACACACTAAACCCGAGGAGCCCTTCGAAATTTTTAACCCAGTCGCTGCCTGAGGGACTAAACCCCTAAGCCAAAGGCAAGGCCATGGGAATTTCTGGCGGGCGGCACGGAAATGCGAAGGCTCAGGGCAAATGGGATTTTCTTCCCGTGCGGACAGCAGATGCCGCGGCCGATGGCCGCCTACCAACAACGAACCTAAAAACTGTACAGATCAACAGCACAACACTCTACACTACGCAACATCCGCATCGCAAGCGGGGACTGCACCACTACGGGAGTCCCACCAGCTCTCCCAAGGAAAGAAGGTGGGACTGTGGCACACAAGAGCGTAAGAGCAGCGCTGGACCATGCACCAAAGCTCAGAGGTGACCAGCATGGGCATCCAGGGAGCACAGCAAGCCTTGCAAGCTTAACAAGGCCACCAAAACAGACAAACAAGCCTGTTAGGTCTTGCTGTTGCACGCTTGAGCTAGCTGGACCACGAAGCAGGCGGGTGGGAGCCGACAAATTCAACGGGCATGCACGGCAAGCCACCTCGCAATTTCAATCCTTACAAGGACGCCAGCACCAGTGTAACACGAGACTGGTGTGCAAGAGGTCAAGGAGCCCTGCATACAAGCAGAGCTGTGCAGCTTAAGGCCCTGGTGTTGCCAGAATGGCAACTTGTGCAAGAGAGTTCGCCGAAAACCAGCAGCAGCAGCCTTTGTACACTTTCTACACCTAACAAACTACCGCCGACTGTACACAGCGCCACAAGTGATCGCATGAACACGCCAAGTGCCCACGCCATCACCTGTGAGTTTCCAGCGTAGTTTTTGACAAGTTTCGGACCAGAAAACCAAAACCGTGCCCAGCACAGGTAGCAGCTGTAGGCAGTGAGGTGGCCTTAGGAAGAAGTGCACATATTCATCAAACCACCGGGTGATACCCGACTGCTGCTCACCATGGGATCGCATGCAAGGACAGTGCCAGCAACGGCAGCAGCTGCAGTGGCCAAGGCCACATACACGTGACCACGTAACAAGAGTTACACATACACCTATTTTTATTGCAAACCAAGCGCCTAGCAGGCTCAAGTGGAAGGCAGCGCTAATGCAGCCAGCAAGGCGCAAAAGCGGCACATCTCAACCACGATGCTCACGTAAAGGGCAACTTGGCTTGTTTTGGCGTAGGTTTGGATTTGCCTGAGCTGTTGGGCTTCGCCACCATGATGTGGCAAGATGTTATCCAACGGCCATTACAAAACATCACAGTTGTTCTGTTGCTAAGGCCCGAAGTCGGGTAATGCATATTCATCAACCAGGCAAGGAAGCATGCGATCACAACCCAACCACCGGCGGGACTAGCCTAAACCTATAACCCTAAGGCAAACAGGCGGGTGCAGCCAACAGCGCACACCGAGCATGTGACCTGTAGGGCAGCAATTGAGCATGCGGAAGGGTAGCCTACATCAGATGAAAGCCATGGCGAGCGTTGTTGCAGCCATCAGTCGCATGACCATCGTGGACCGCCAATGACACGGGTGCAGCCAGCAAGCGCACTCCAGCTTCCACCAGACATGTTTGAGGTTGCTTGTTTTTTTTGTTGGAAACCCTAGCCCAACCCTCGAAACAGCCCGAGAAGCTCACCGAAATGACAAACGGGTCTGTTTGGAGGTGTCCTTAGACTTGGCTTTGGGCTTGCACTTAGGTTTGGGCTTAGGTTGGGCAGAGCAGGGGAAAACAGAACTGTCACCGCCTTGCTGCACAACCTCCGCAGGGATTGACTCCTTGGCCTCAAAGGATTCCTCAATGGACCGGCTCGTATCAGCTTCAACCTGGGCCATGGAACGCACTCTCGTTTGGGCGTTAAGTTTACGCCCGAGCCCTTTGCAAGTGGACTTCATGACCGACGACGACGAGGTGGCACCAAGTTTAACCATGGCAAGACACTTGGAGCACATAAAGAAAGAACCCTTATTAACCATGTCATGACTGCCATGTATGCCCCAGCAGGCGGGAACCGGGGCAGCTCTGTCGCGACAAGGATTGGACATTTTGCGATCAAAAACCTCGGGAGGGTTACACTGCTCCACATAAAGCTGGCAAACGGTGCACTGGATCGCAAAATTGTTGCTGGCTTTGGCCTCACAATCCTTCCAAACATGACCCAGCCCAGGGTCCGGGTTGGCGAGAGCCTCCTTAAGGCGTTGTTTTTTGTTGGGTTTGGGCTGACTGCTGGGCTTGGACCCGCCTTTGGGCTTACCAAACTTGCCCTGGGAAAAGATCGAGGGCTTAGCATCCTGGGGCGAAGGCTGGGAGTTGAGGCACCTATCAAAAACCCAAGGGAAACCCTTATCTTTTTTGTGCTTGAGGACAAAGCCAATTTTCTTAGCCAGGTGCAGGCAAATTTCTTCACAGAGCCCATCAAGAACAGGAAGATTCGGCTTAGTCGCTGATTGGAACACTTGCGCAGCCCTTTTGCCACATAAAGAATCAACATCCTCGTTCAGCAAACGCCGCCATTCAGGGATGCCTTTTTCAGCATAATAGGAAGAGTCTTTATGACTGGGCACCCAAGTGATATTAGCCCTTGACCTGTCACCCCAAATTTCACCCCAAGGGACCGGGCCTTCAAGGGGCGGCATGTTTTTCCGTAGAATGTGTGTGATTGCCTGACAGTCCACCGTCAAGTCGAAAGCACCGGAGACACGACCAAAGAGCTCAAAGGCAGCCTGTTGTTCCGCACTGGCCACCGACAGGGGCTCTTCAGGAAAGCACGTGATGCTAGCAACACGCTTCGGCCCATCCGGTGCAAGCTCATATGCCGCAATGGCCCAAGCAACACATGCCGCGCGGTGGTCACGGGCACCTGGTCCACCCGACGCATCTGAAGCAAAAACAAGATTATCACTATTAAGGACCCGTCGGCTGCTCCACAAACCCTCACAAACCAAACCCTTCTGCTTATCCGTACCTCCCAGCGACGTGGCACGCTGTGGCAACAAACCGCGCAACCAAAGACATGGCCACGGGAAACTGCGGCGGGAGGCCGGGAAATGCGGTGGTTCAGGATACTTAGAAGCAAGAAAAGAGCAGTCCCACAGAACATGCTGTAAGCTGAGAGGACAGGCACACAGTTTACAGTACCCGGGCTTATTCTGACCTAAAAGTGCTCCTTGCCAAAGGGCTTGCAAACTAGTCGCCATACTCTTATTGAAGAATTTGCGCTTAAGCAAGCGGTGAGGGACCTTCAAGTCGACTCCAGAGGCTAAGGATTCACAGGCTTCCAGATGAGATATACGAAGCAGCCTAGCGGCCTCCCACTTAGGCAAAAGCCAATGCCACACCCGACGGGTGGCGTCAACACTGGCCCAATCAATGATAAGGAGACACTCGCCGCACGTCCAACGGTGGGACTGGGGCGCTTGCACACCTAAATCCATCAAGTATGCCAAAGTGGCCGCCAAGGGCCCATTGACGCGCTTCCAAGGTTGGGGCGACTCTGAAAGCCAAGCCCAAATGTTGGCCCAAGTCGATCTGAATTTCTCCGGGTCCGAGATCTGCCAACGACGGAAAACCCTGGCAACCGCTCGAAAATGCTGCTTCAAAATGGTGAGGTGCGGGTCCTCACACTTGTGACGCAACAAAAGGAAAGAGACATCAAGCGAGCCTAACTTTTGGCGGCCGATGGCCTTGGCACAAAGAGTCCTGTACCACTTACGCCGCTTAGGACTGACGCCTGCAGCCTGATGCCCCCAAAGACCTGCAGAGCATATGGAGGCCCGGGTAATGCGCACTTTATGTGAAAAGTTGGCAAGGCCCAACTTGCGCAGTTTAGACGCCCTGCCACTGGCCTTAGCTCGCCTCATCTCAGCTAAACCCAAAACCCTGCGGCGTGCACCCCCCGATGTGACACCTAAGTCCCTGGCAAAGGTGCGGACTTCAGGGTCTGTGTCAACTCTGACAGCCTGCAAGCATTTAGCCGCTTTAGAGGACGATGCAACAAATGAAGTCTTATCCAATGACAACTTGGCACCAGTTGCCTCGATGCTGGTACGCAGGCTGCGAAACAGCAGCACAGCGTCTGAGGCAATCTGCTTGGCCGAGGCACCGACACAGTCAAGGGACAGATCATCTATCCATACGTCCAAATTGGATGTCGCACGCTTGGAAGTGGCCGCAACTGCAATGGGGTGCACAACAAGTTTGCTGATAGAAGGGGCGGCCGGGCACCCAGCCAGGACCCCCTTCGTGGGAGTAATGGCCGGGCACAAAGACCCTTCAGATTGAAGAAAACGCGGGCCCATGTACGTAAGAAGGGCCTGGTGCAATACCAGGGGAGGGTACCCCAAAGAAAGGCCAGAAGAAATGACATCGTTAAAACGGCATCTATCATAGAAAGTCTCCATATCAATGAAAATTGTAACTAAGTGCTGACCGGACTGTCTAGCCGCCTCGCCTCTAAGTAAGCGTCCCAAAGCGACGTCCAGCACTTGACTCCCAGGCATTGCCTTATCCCAGACCGCGGCTTTACAGTACTGGAATTGCCAATCGGAGACCAATTTCCACCTCATGCGCACCCAAGTGCGGTAAAGCACGTGCAAAAGTGCTATTGGTCTCTCCCGCTTCTCGCTTTTTGGGAGGAGGGCTATAAGTGCAAACACCATCTGGGCAGGCCAAGTGGCCTCAGTTTCACAGTGGTGAAGAAATGAAATGATGGATGCAACAGCCGGTCGCTGCAAATTTTTTAACATCTCAAATGTCCACCCGTCTAGACCTGGTGCTTTGCTGGGCACTCGCTTGAACGCCGCAACCGCCTGATCTAGGGGAATCGGCCCAAGCTCCTTGGCCTGCATTCGGGCACGTTGCCTGAGATCACTGAGGAGCGCCGGGTCGACCCCACCCGGCGCGGACCAAAGCTCAAACCACTGCCTCCACCTAAGGTAGATGCGCTCCTGCACAGGCTGGTGCAAGAAAGGGCGCAGCTGGACAGCTTCATCCGCTTTAACACTGGTAAAAAGGCCACGCAAGCCTTTACACGAAGCCTGCTTTAGCCACTTACCGTAGCTTGCGCTCTGCTTCTGCATCCACAATTTGGAATGGTGACAATCAACTCTGGAAAAGCCGAAGGCGTAACACCTTTAAGAACAGCATCGAGCTGGACTTGGAAAACACTGAGCTCGGCTGTGGATCCGTGCCACATCAATTCAAGCTGCGACCAAAATGTGTGGCCAAAGGGTGCAGGACAACTCCGCTTCACCGAAAGTTCCAGCCAAACAAGGACCCGCTTCCAGAAAAAGGCCTGAGCCCCCCCCCAAGCACCCACAGGTGAGGTATGGCGCAGGAGTTTGTCACGGCGAAATTTGGGCAGGCAGCCTCGACCTTGAGTGCAGCCATAGACCGATAACTCAACAGAGCTACTGAGCTGCTCAAAGGTATGTGTGAGGGCCGGCTCAGGTATGGAGCCACCCCAGTGCCCGGCACAGGCAGACTCCAGATCAGGCTGAGGGCCAGAGCAACCTGCCAAAGGAGGCTCAAAGGGTTGCGGCATAATGGGCATCGGCTTGAAACCCACAAGCTGGGGAAACCTCAACTCGCACTGCCTCCTGTCAATGCACCAATGTAAGGCAGCATGTGGAGCAAACGGAGTGATCCAGTCAGCCCGGACCGAAACTCCCAAGGCCAGCCCTTTGGAAACTAAACCAAAATCAATGTTACCACCCCCTGTGCACGTGGAAGCCCCCGTATGGACCCATTGGCCCCGAGCTTCCTGCGCCAAACTGGTGGTCACCAGAACACTGATGTCTTCGTTGAAGTCGCCTGCAACAAGGAATTCACCTTGCAGCGACCTAAGGAAGGGAATCAAATTGGAAAGAATTATGGCATTAGTCGGGCCCCGGAAACCCTCCCCTGTCTTCAAGTAAACATTGACGAGGAAGATATCAACACCCCGGATGCGCAGAACAACAGACTGAAAACCAACACCTTGGTGAAGGAAGTGGTGGCTTTTACGGACATCAAGGTGCTTCTTAAACACAATCGCAAGGCCTCCTGAGTTACCACCTCCCCCAGTGGGGTGGCCTGGCAAGCTGAAGGCCTGATAGCCAAAGGCCCCAACATGAGTGGCCAGCAAATCCCCTTGCTCCTCCTTAATGTGTGTTTCCTGTACCAGCCAGAGGTCTGGCCTGATCCCCGCAAGAAAGGTTGCTAAGGACTTGCGCCACTTGGTGACATTGGAGCTGACTAACAGCAATTTCTTTCCGTCGGCATTGGAGTTAAGATTTGCGATGACATCCCTGATAGCCGAGGCTGCAACGTGCCAAGGAACATCATCACCGGCTTCAACAGCAAGCTCAGCAGCAAACCAGGGAAAGGTATCTTCAAGAATATATTGGCCCGCCTCTAGGGCCTCCACAGCTTGAAGCACTTGCACATGACACATATGCTCCAGCCCTTGCAGCAAGCTGGCCCAAAGGGCCGAAACCCCTGGATCACCAGACTGAGCGAGAGCACTGCCCGACCAAGTTGAATGCACAAGCACCTGGTCAGCCTGAGTGCAGCCTGCAGGGCGCACAGCAACGCCTGGTTGGGACATCGTATGTCTTTGGTCACCAGCCTCAGGGCACGCTGGGCCACACCCGGAATTCTCAGACAACGGGATGTATTGCTCCCTCCAGGGTCCTCGGCCAGCGGCCGCACCTCCTCCTGCGGGCCAATCCTCCGCCTGTGTGATATACCCACCTCCTGGACCCTGGAGGGAAACTCTATTAAGGGAAGCAATCCCAAAATTCCGACCCCCAGGACCCTCGCCCAGCGGGCACACCTCCTCCTGAAAGAAACCACCACCACTATAACAACCACCCTCCTCCTGGGCCCTGGGGGCCCTCATGGCATCAAGATTGGCAGCCGCGCAACCCAAAAGATGCTGGTCCTGGTCAGGCCGCCCGTGCAATTCGCCAGTGATGCCGCAATGCCCAGGAGTAGCATCCCAGCAATCAAAATTGGGGCTAGGGTCCCAAGACTGGGAGACACACGGGGTAGGGAACGGAAATGTAAATTCATGGCCAGCCTGCGACCTGTAGCAGTCAACTTCAACCACTTCTGCATGGACCGAAGCAACTGCACAAGGGTCAAGCAAATCACCACCGTGAGAAATCGGATCAGAAAAAGTCCCTGAACCCTCAAGCACGTGTCGCAATCGGCGGTTGAGGCGCCGGCGGGCCCGTCTGGATACAGGGGCTTTCCGATTCGTGGAAGGCCCATACGAGAGTGCTCTGATACATGTAGGCCTCACAGTTGCGAGCTCCTGCGAACCAGACACCTCGCCCTGTTCATCACACTCCTGAGCAGCACTGGCAGGAAAGAAACGTGGACCTGACAAGTCAGCGGATATGTGAGGCTGGCCCTCGGTGCTGGTGGGGCGGTCCGCCCAGCGACACAAACACCCTGGGCAGTAGCAGAGTACATCACTGACAGCCGTGGCAAGGTCCTCACATGGACGGTGTAACATGACCTGGCTGCTGGCTGAAAGAAAACTCCTAATCCAAGGAAAATCCTGCTGACCAAGCACTGCATTCTGGCCACAACTCAAACAAGGAGGCCACCCTTGCACAAGCTCTTCAAGCTCCGATGCATATCCACTCGCAAAGGCCAAATTGGGGTTAAGGAAAACTCCCGAAGGCGCACACGGGTTCGGGCTAGAAATGGGCCTGGACTCAAGGGTGCCTTCATGCCTCCGGGCGGAAGCACAAGCACTCCAGCACAGTGGCAAAGTGGACGGCCTGTGGCGGAAGACCCTGGCCGGCACTCTGTAATCAAGGATCCTGGGCACAGGTTGGCCTGAAAGCGCACAAGATTCAAGAAAAAAGCCACGGCGACAATGAAAACTCTCACTCTGACTCGGCATGCAGTGCTGGCACAAAGCTGGCTCGGGAGGCCTAGGGGCAAAGGGGGGCACTGACATAGGCGTATGGCAGCATGCACAACACAAGTCCTGACATGCAAGCTGCATCGCCCCTTCTTTCAAGCCCGAATTTCGAACCGAAGACCTAGCAACCCAACCTTGCGCCACCGAAGGCTCTGCCGAGAATGAGTGCGCAGCAAAATGAGGAGTAGCACAGCTTCTAGCCGACGCCACCTGAAAGCAAGGATTACAAACGCACATGCTGCTGGACCCAACGTGGAAACTCACACTTCGTGAGGACGCCAGGGGCGCAACACAGAGCGAACATGTTGTGTTGACAGCGGTCTGCTGGTTTTGCAAAATCTGAGGAGCGGTGCGGGTCTGGGGCCAACAAGGAAAAGCAGGAGCCTCAGGCACATGCAAGTCACTTCCCAAGGAACTCGTAACCCTTACCCAGGAAGAGAACCCCGGAATCCTCCTAAAATCCCCGGAACCCAGACCCTCACCTGCATCCTACAGATCCTCCTTCTCAGCGGCAGCCTCATGCGTCTTTCTTGGCGACCTGGATCTGGTGCCACGCTGTCCGTTCTGCGCTGGCTCAGATTTCTTGGGCACCTCTTGCGTGTTGGGTGCTGCGGCCTTAAGGTCAAAAGCCTGGCTGTCAGGGGGTCCATGTGTGCCGGCACGCACTGCGGCAATCTTTGCTTCCTGCTCTTCAGTCAAGGAAATCCCAAACTTCTCAAGAAACTGCGCAATTTCGCCGTTCAAAGATTCATCTTGGGCCAGGACTTTGGTGGTAAGCTCCTCGCCCGCATCTGCAACCTGTTGCTGCGCCTCTTCAATTTTGGTCTGCAACTGTTTCATCTCGGTCAGTCTTGCGTTGTATTGCTCCTTAGCTTGGTCGATACGCTTCTGCAAGCTAATCTTCTTGTCTCCAAGCAATTTCAGTGCAACCGTGGCCTTACGAAAAGCTGCATTTGCTGCGGTTCCAACTTCATAAGAGGTGGGAGCCGGAGTTTGCTCCGGCGGCTTGAGGCCTGCCTTGAGCATGAGCTCTTTCTGCTGCTCCGTGGCTTCAGACCACAGCTTCTGCTTAGCCTCGCAGGCCTCAGATGCATCCATGTCAACATCAAAATCGCCGAGACCCGGAGGCGGAACAACCGCTGCCGCGGATGGAGGCCTCCACCCGGCTTCTTCGATCGCCAGTCGGGCTTCGGGAGTCAACTTCTCCCACACTGTGTGCAAAGCGAGTGCCGCCTTGCCGGGCTTTCGCTCCTTACTCTGCCTGGGCGGCCTAAATGAGGTCTCAGATGCCTCATCACCGCTCTGTACAAACCTAACCTTAGGCTTTGCCTGTCGAGGCCACGCTGCACCACAAACTGCACAACACGGGTGGGCTGAAATGCGGTCAGCATACAGCCAGCTCTCTTTGCACTTCCTGCACACGACATACGGCCGGAAGCGCGACATGTCCGCACTGACTTGCACCAGTCCTTGTGCGTCTGCTGCCGTCCTTCAAGAAAACTGTACGCAAGAAAGTTTGGCAACAAAGGGCGTTTTTGCAAGCAAGGCCCTCAAAGCAAACTTTTCCAAGAAAATCAAGCGATCTGTGCAAGCAAGATGTTTCAAGGTTTCAAGTTGCAGCGGTGTTCAAGCAGATGGCGCAAAGAGCGCCTGACAAACTACGGCTCCCGCCCAGCCCTCGCCGGCTAATCCGGCCTACGACCTCTACGAGGTTACGTTTGGGTTCTGTTCGAGAGCACTAGAATGCAGGCCTCAAGGCTGGCCACGTCGGCACCTCAGTTTGAGCACTCACGGCAACTTGAGCCAAATGGCTACGGCAAATGGGATTTTCTTCCCGTGCGGACAGCAGATGCCGCGGCCGATGGCCGCCTTCCAACAACGAACCTAGAAACTGTACAGATCAACAGCACAACACTCTACACTACGCAACATCCGCATCGCAAGCGGGGACTGCACCACTACGGGAGTCCCACCAGCTCTCCCAAGGAAAGAAGGTGGGACTGTGGCACACAAGAGCGTAAGAGCAGCGCTGGACCATGCACCAAAGCTCAGAGGTGACCAGCATAGGCATCCAGGGAGCACAGCAAGCCTTGCAAGCTTAACAAGGCCACCAAAACAGACAAACAAGCCTGTTAGGTCTTGCTGTTGCACGCTTGAGCTAGCTGGACCACGAAACAGGCGGGTGGGAGCCGACAAATTCAACGGGCATGCACGGCAAGCCACCTCGCAATTTCAATCCTTACAAGGACGCCAGCACCAGTGTAACACGAGACTGGTGTGCAAGAGGTCAAGGAGCCCTGCATACAAGCAGAGCTGTGCAGCTTAAGGCCCTGGTGTTGCCAGAATGGCAACTTGTGCAAGAGAGTTCGCCGAAAACCAGCAGCAGCAGCCTTTGTACACTTTCTACACCTAACAAACTACCGCCGACTGTACACAGCGCCACAAGTGATCGCATGAACACGCCAAGTGCCCACGCCATCACCTGTGAGTTTCCAGCGTAGTTTTTGACAGGTTTCGGACCAGAAAACCAAAACCGTGCCCAGCACAGGTAGCAGCTGTAGGCAGTGAGGTGGCCTTAGGAAGAAGTGCACATATTCATCAAACCACCGGGTGATACCCGACTGCTGCTCACCATGGGATCGCATGCAAGGACAGTGCCAGCAACGGCAGCAGCTGCAGTGGCCAAGGCCACATACACGTGACCACGTAACAAGAGTTACACATACACCTATTTTTACTGCAAACCAAGCGCCTAGCAGCCTCAAGTGGAAGGCAGCGCTAACGCAGCCAGCAAGGCGCAAAAGCGGCACATCTCAACCACGATGCTCACGTAAAGGGCAACTTGGCTTGTTTTGGCGTAGTTTGGATTTGCCTGAGCTGTTGGGCTTCGCCACCATGATGTGGCAAGATGTTATCCAACGGCCATTACAAAACATCACAGTTGTTCTGTTGCTAAGGCCCGAAGTCGGGTAATGCATATGCATCAACCAGGCAAGGAAGCATGCGATCACAACCCAACCACCGGCGGGACTAGCCTAAACCTATAACCCTAAGGCATAACAGGCGGGTGCAGCCAACAGCGCACACCGAGCATGTGACCTGTAGGGCAGCAATTGAACATGCGGAAAGGTAGCCTACATCAGATGAAAGCCATGGCGAGCGTAGTTGCAGCCATCAGTCGCATGACCATCGTGGACCGCCAATGACACGGGTGCAGCCAGCAAGCGCACTCCAGCTTCCACCAGACATGTTTGAGGTTGCTTTTTTTTTTTTTTTGGAAACCCTAGCCCAACCCTCGAAACAGCCCGAAAAGCTCACCGAAACGACAAACGGGTCTGTTTGGAGGTGTCCTTAGACTTGGCTTTGGGCTTGCACTTAGGTTTGGGCTTAGGTTGGGCAGAGCAGGGGAAAACAGAACTGCCACCGCCTTGCTGCACAACCTCCGCAGGGATTGACTCTTTGGCCTCAAAGGATTCCTCAATGGACCGGCTCGTATCAGCTTCAACCTGGGCCATGGAACGCACTCTCGTTTGGGCGTTAAGTTTACGCCCGAGCCCTTTGCAAGTGGACTTCATGACCGACGACGACGAGGTGGCACCAAGTTTAACCATGGCAAGACACTTGGAGCACATAAAGAAAGAACCCTTATTAACCATGTCATGACTGCCATGTATGCCCCAGCAGGCGGGAACCGGGGCAGCTCTGTCGCGACAAGGATTGGACATTTTGCGATCAAAAACCTCGGGAGGGTTACACTGCTCCACATAAAGCTGGCAAACGGTGCACTGGATCGCAAAATTGTTGGTGGCTTTGGCCTCACAATCCTTCCAAACATGACCCAGCCCAGGGTCCGGGTTGGCGAGAGCCTCCTTAAGGCGTTGTTTTTTGTTGGGTTTGGGCTGACTGCTGGGCTTGGACCCGCCTTTGGGCTTACCAAACTTGCCCTGGGAAATGATCGAGGGCTTAGCATCCTGGGGCGAAGGCTGGGAGTTGAGGCACCTATCAAAAACCCAAGGGAAACCCTTATCTTTTTTGTGCTTGAGGACAAAGCCAATTTTCTTAGCCAGGTGCAGGCAAATTTCTTCACAGAGCCCATCAAGAACAGGAAGATTCGGCTTAGTCGCTGATTGGAACACTTGCGCAGCCCTTTTGCCACATAAAGAATCAACATCCTCGTTCAGCAAACGCCGCCATTCAGGGATGCCTTTTTCAGCATAATAGGAAGAGTCTTTATGACTGGGCACCCAAGTGATATTAGCCCTTGACCTGTCACCCCAAATTTCACCCCAAGGGACCGGGCCTTCAAGGGGCGGCATGTTTTTCCGTAGAATGTGTGTGATTGCCTGACAGTCCACCGTCAAGTCGAAAGCACCGGAGACACGACCAAAGAGCTCAAAGGCAGCCTGTTGTTCCGCACTGGCCACCGACAGGGGCTCTTCAGGAAAGCACGTGATGCTAGCAACACGCTTCGGCCCATCCGGTGCAAGCTCATATGCCGCAATGGCCCAAGCAACACATGCCGCGCGGTGGTCACGGGCACCTGGTCCACCCGACGCATCTGAAGCAAAAACAAGATTATCACTATTAAGGACCCGTCGGCTGCTCCACAAACCCTCACAAACCAAACCCTTCTGCTTATCCGTACCTCCCAGCGACGTGGCACGCTGTGGCAGCAAACCGCGCAACCAAAGACATGGCCACGGGAAACTGCGGCGGGAGGCCGGGAAATGCGGTGGTTCAGGATACTTAGAAACAAGAAAAGGGCAGTCCCACAGAACATGCTGTAAGCTGAGAGGACAGGCACACAGTTTACAGTACCCGGGCTTATTCTGACCTAAAAGTGCTCCTTGCCAAAGGGCTTGCAAACTAGTCGCCATACTCTTATTGAAGAATTTGCGCTTGAGCAAGCGGTGAGGGACCTTCAAGTCGACTCCAGAGGCTAAGGATTCACAGGCTTCCAGATGAGAGATACGAAGCAGCCTAGCGGCCTCCCACTTAGGCAAAAGCCAATGCCACACCCGACGGGTGGCGTCAACACTGGCCCAATCAATGATAAGGAGACACTCGCCGCACGTCCAACGGTGGGACTGGGGCGCTTGCACACCTAAATCCATCAAGTATGCCAAAGTGGCCGCCAAGGGCCCATTGACGCGCTTCCAAGGTTGGGGCGACTCTGAAAGCCAAGCCCAAATGTTGGCCCAAGTCGATCTGAATTTCTCCGGGTCCGAGATCTGCCAACGACGGAAAACCCTGGCAACCGCTCGAAAATGCTGCTTCAAAATGGTGAGGTGCGGGTCCTCACACTTGTGACGCAACAAAAGGAAAGAGATATCAAGCGAGCCTAACTTTTGGCGGCCGATGGCCTTGGCACAAAGCGTCCTGTACCACTTACGCCGCTTAGGACTGACGCCTGCAGCCTGATGCCCCCAAAGACCTGCAGAGCATATGGAGGCCCGGGTAATGCGCACTTTATGTGAAAAGTTGGCAAGGCCCAACTTGCGCAGTTTAGACGCCCTGCCACTGGCCTTAGCTCGCCTCATCTCAGCTAAACCCAAAACCCTGCGGCGTGCACCCCCCGATGTGACACCTAAGTCCCTGGCAAAGGTGCGGACTTCAGGGTCTGTGTCAACTCTGACAGCCTGCAAGCATTTAGCCGCTTTAGAGGACGATGCAACAAATGAAGTCTTATCCAATGACAACTTGGCACCAGTTGCCTCGATGCTGGTACGCAGGCTGCGAAACAGCAGCACAGCGTCTGAGGCAATCTGCTTGGCCGAGGCACCGACACAGTCAAGGGACAGATCATCTATCCATACGTCCAAATTGGATGTCGCACGCTTGGAAGTGGCCGCAACTGCAATGGGGTGCACAACAAGTTTGCTGATAGAAGGGGCGGCCGGGCACCCAGCCAGGACCCCCTTCGTGGGAGTAATGGCCGGGCACAAAGACCCTTCAGATTGAAGAAAACGCGGGCCCATGTACGTAAGAAGGGCCTGGTGCAATACCAGGGGAGGGTACCCCAAAGAAAGGCCAGAAGAAATGACATCGTTAAAACGGCATCTATCATAGAAAGTCTCCATATCAATGAAAATTGTAACTAAGTGCTGACCGGACTGTCTAGCCGCCTCGCCTCTAAGTAAGCGTCCCAAAGCGACGTCCAGCACTTGACTCCCAGGCATTGCCTTATCCCAGACCGCGGCTTTACAGTACTGGAATTGCCAATCGGAGACCAATTTCCACCTCATGCGCACCCAAGTGCGGTAAAGCACGTGCAAAAGTGCTATTGGTCTCTCCCGCTTCTCGCTTTTTGGGAGGAGGGCTATAAGTGCAAACACCATCTGGGCAGGCCAAGTGGCCTCAGTTTCACAGTGGTGAAGAAATGAAATGATGGATGCAACAGCCGGTCGCTGCAAATTTTTTAACATCTCAAATGTCCACCCGTCTAGACCTGGTGCTTTGCTGGGCACTCGCTTGAACGCCGCAACCGCCTGATCTAGGGGAATCGGCCCAAGCTCCTTGGCCTGCATTCGGGCACGTTGCCTGAGATCACTGAGGAGCGCCGGGTCGACCCCACCCGGCGCGGACCAAAGCTCAAACCACTGCCTCCACCTAAGGTAGATGCGCTCCTGCACAGGCTGGTGCAAGAAAGGGCGCAGCTGGACAGCTTCATCCGCTTTAACACTAGTAAAAAGGCCACGCAAGCCTTGACACGAAGCCTGCTTTAGCCACTTACCGTAGCTTGCGCTCTGCTTCTGCATCCACAATTTGGAATGGTGACGAAATTGTTGCTCCGATACCTGAATCAACTCTGGAAAAGCCGAAGGCGTAACACCTTTAAGAACAGCATCGAGCTGGACTTGGAAAACACTGAGCTCGGCTGTGGATCCGTGCCACATCAATTCAAGCTGCGACCAAAATGTGTGGCCAAAGGGTGCAGGACCTCGGGATCTTCAGGGGCTGCTTGTAGAGAAGCTCCAAGGGAACCTCCGAACCTGGCTCCCCTCTGAGGTCCTCGCCCTTGATTCCCGGATCTGGGCCTGGAAGGGACTCCGCTGGGGATGGAGCCTCCTCCGAAAACTTGGTGGTGGCCGGTGAGTTTGCCTCAACCTGGTCACTGGAGACAGGATCTGGATGAGGTGAGGGTTCCTCAACCTGCTCAGGGACCAAAGAAGAGGCTGGCTCAGGTGAGATCTTCTCAACCTGTGTTTTGGAAGCCTTGCCTTCTGTATCCGGCTTGGGTGCCGGTGAGGTAACCTCAACCGGAGCTCTGGGCAGGCTCCTGCTTAGGAGAGGTCAGTACCTCTTCCTGCTCATGCTCCGAGGGAGAGGCCGGTTCAGGCGAGACCTTCTCAACCTGGGTTGTGGCGGCCGGGCCTGGATCACCAGCATCTGTATCCGGCTTGGTTGCCGGTGAAGGAACCTCAGTATGAGAACTCTGGGCAGGTTCCTGTTTAGGAGAGGTCAGCACCTCATCCTGCTCAGGCCCCAAAGGAGAGGTTGGTGCAGGTGAGACCTGCTCAACCTGAGTTGTGGAGGCTAGGCCTGGTTCATCAGCATTGGAAGGCGAGGGCACCTCAGCCTGCAGATTGGAACCGGAGGCTCTTGGCGAGGCCTCCTCAGCCTGGGCCTCTGTGCGTTGCCGCTTTGGCGGTGGTGGTGGTGGGGTTCGGGCTACCCCCGGCTTGGGTGCGGCTTTTGGCCTCGTGATGGGGGCCTCAACCGACCTTGACAAGTTGGGACCAGAAGCCTGAATGCTGGCTTTGCCTGGAGTACCTTGATCTCGAAATAGCAGGTTTGCCCTCACTAAAACGATGCTGCAAGAGGGCCTGGTACCGCTGTTCCGTTACCGGGTCCTCGAAAGGGGCATTCTGCCCCTTCCCTGGCTTATTCTTCCCTTTTCCTTTACCCATCTTGGAGCCAAAAGCTGCGAGAAGGCTCAGACATGGAGGGTTAGCAAAACCAGGTACGAGTAGCACTTAGACCAGGCTACATCTGCAGGCTTGGCGCAAACAGCACCTACCCCATCATCAGTAATGAGCTTGGAGGGGAGAAGTAAAGTTCGATAATGTCCAGAGGTCGGGGAGTTGCCTAAATGCGAGACCACGGCCTTGGGGTAGTAACGAAGAAGTTCCCCATCCAATCCCTCAAGCACACAAGGATCCTCAAAACCAACTGGGTTCTCGAGCCTCCGAAAACCCCCCCCTTCCCTAACAAACCTCAAAAGCTGCAATGCAATCAAAGGCGGGTGAGTAAGGATTTTCACTTCTCCACCTTGTTGCCAATTTGCCAGAAGTTCCCTCATAGAGACTTCGTGCTCCGGGAGGTGAAGAGGAAGTGGGAAAAAGTTACCCTCGTGGTGAGGTGCATTGGGAGCATGAGCTCGCCATGAAACGCAAGAGAGGTCACGGGGAAGCCCCGAAGAAAGGTGCATGAGAAGTTGACAAACATCATGCTGGCTGTTTGGGGATTCCCATCGACCCTGGCCTGCAACTAATCTCTTCCAAACCAGGGACTGCCACAGCTCGACTTTGCGCTGATCTTTCAACCATCGCAGGATGCCCTGGATGGGGGATCCAGCAAAGGGGCTGGAGGCATCAAGGAGCAGGTCAACCCAAAAGAAACCAACCACCAGAGAATTGGTGTAACAATGGTTGGATGGATTTTGGAACTTCACCTTGCGAACAATGGAGCCAGCAGCCCTTAAGTCTCCAAGCTCTGGGCTTCCAGGATCCCGGTAATCGCGGACAGCAGGAGAGGGAGGCTCAATCCTGACCATGTTCTGCAAGGGAGGGTCATCGGGAGTGAGAGTTTGCAGGGGAGTGGCCTCAACCCTGTTAAGTGGTGTTGCAAAGAAGTTGCTAAGGTTTTGGGCTTTTGGGAGAGTCTCCTTAGAAAGCTTGCTAGCCTTCTTGGAGGCAGGTAGTGACTCCGGAACCCCTACGCCACTTAACAAACTCTTGGTGAACTTAGTCAGTTTGTTAGTGTGTTTACGGGTCACACACAGGGACTGGAGGAGCCCCGGGACTTTCTTTGCCCGCGCTGGCAAAATGCCTTCACACACTTTACACTGCCAAGCTTTGCCTATGGAAACAAGCTGATGGGAAGAGTGACAGGCCAGGTGCTCCGGGGGACGACCTTCCCTTCCCAAGCACGGCTGGGCAAGGACCTGCTGGAACAGTGAAGGAGGGTCCACTTGCTGCAGGTAAAGGCCACATTTCCCACACATGGCTGTGAGGTTCGTAGGGTGCTGACTGCGAATTTCCCACTGGTGTCCCAGCGGAGAGACGGTTTGGCTGACGAGTTGCTCAATCTGTTGCCTTTTGTTGAGGGTTGGAGGTTTTGGCTGGCGCTTGCAGAAAATAGTCTTCTTGTCCTGCGTAGTAATCAAAATCTCCGCCCTCTGGCTAAGTAGCTGGGAAAGGGTGGAAACCAGCGTGTCAACTTGCCTGACTTGCTTTTTGGCATCAGGGTGCAAAGCTTGGTCAGCCCTGGACCCAGCAAGTTGGTCAGCTTCCTGATTCAAATGCCAACGCCAAACCTCATCTTTTCCAAACTTTTCAGCAAATTTTCCTACATCCAAGTGGGCCTTGACCCAATGAAGATGTTGTGGGGATATGTTCTGCCATTGGGGTTTCCAAAACATGGAATGCTTGGATGTAACCGCCCTAGCTGCAGCCTGCTTGCAAGCTACCCGAGAATCCGTAGTAAGATCCGTCAGGCCTGGGCAAAGCTCATGGGCCTTAACAATGGCATGGACCTCCCCATCTAGAACCGTGGCCGGCCGAGGCAAAACCCCGCTCGCAGTTGCAATAACTGTGATGCTTTGGCCCGTTTTGCGTGCTAGAATCACAGCCCATCCAATGGTCCGCAATCTGGGATCGGAAGAAAATTTTCCGCCACTGGCATCAGTACCAATGACAAGATCCGAGTCCCAGGGCTGTGACGGCCAGGTGCCCGCATACCTATCCTCAGCGTTCTGAAGTGGCGAGGAGACATAGGCAAGAGGGGGAAGGGCTCGCAACCAAAGGCAGGGCGCAGGATGGGACTGACGCATTTGTTCAAGATGCCTGGGAAGCTTTGGCTGTCTGGCCCATCTGGGGCAGTCCCACAGCACATGTTGTAGTGTGTTTTCTGAATCAAGGCCCCGATCCTTGCAGTAAGGGCACTTGGGGTGGCCACCACTTCCCGCATGCACAACTGCACCTTGCCAGATTGACCTGTAGAAGGTCAGACGTTTGGTCTTCTTTAAAGCAATGCGGCGATGAATTGTGAAATCTACACCCTCCTGAGCTCCTTGGCCGCCATGTTGGCCAGAGATGGCTCGCAACCTTTCGCTCTTGATAGTAGACCGAATCTTGCGCCGCAGCTCCTGAAAAAGAAAGGGGCTGAAGTCAACGGGCCAGGGGTGGCCATCAATATGCCAGACTTCCGGGGACTGGACATCCCATCCCATATCCCTGGCATACTGAATCATGGCCGAAATGGGTCCGGCAACGATTTTCCAAGGGTGAGGCGAAGCCTCCAACCTGGATTTGACCAAGGGCCAGGACCTTTGAACTTCCTCCCAAATGGAAGGAGAACGGCCAAGAATACGAAGAAAAACTTGCAAATGCTCACAAATGATCTGCTCTCGGGGATCCGGAAATTTGTGGGAGAACATCTCCAAGACGGTCAGGGTTCCTCCTAGATGTTGGCGTCCTAAGCTACCAGCCAGCACAGCGCGGTGCCATTTCAACCGTTTGGGACTAACACCCTGTGCCTGATGGCCATAGGTGGCACATGTCATGATGGATCCGCGCACAACCCTCGTGCGTGAACAATGCGAATCAACACCTAAAGCACGAAGGCGCTTGTGGCGGCCTTGCGCCTTCTTGTGCCTGCCCAGAGAGGTGGCAAGCCTGCGGCGTCTGCCAGCATTGCTGTCAACCCCTAAGTCTTTGGCTAACAGAGTAATGCCAGGATCTTGGTCCGAACGCAGACGCGCAAGAACTTGAGAGGTGGCAGAGTCTGAGCAAAGAAACTTGGTTTTTTCCAAGGAAACCTGAAGATTTCGTTCCGCAAGAGAGTCTCGCAGTATACGAAATGTCTTGAGGGCTTTGTGAGCCGTGTTAGAAGCAGTGGACCCTACCACGTCAGCCGAAATGTCATCCAGCCACTGGTCGATGTTGTGAGTGAGGCCAGTAGCCTGAAGGTCCCTGATTGGGACAAACAAAGCCAGTTTCGAAACCACCGGCGCAACAGGGCAACCCTGAAGCAACCCAACTGTGGGAATGATTCCCGGCGAAACCGAATTTTCGGCTGAGACAAATCGTGTCCCACCATAAATTTGAAGGGAAAGCTCCAAAAGCAAAGGTGGGAACTGCAACAGGAGTCCGGTGTCGACTACCGAGGCCCAAACTACACAATCATAGAAACCTTTGATATCAAGAAAGAGTCCTACAAAGTGTTTGGACTGAGTTCGGGAGGCTTCGGCCCACAGCAACCGGCGGATGCCGATGTCTAAAGATGTTCGACCTGGCACTGCGGCATCCCAAGGAGCCAGGGCCTGGTAGGAGACCGTCCACTCTTGGATCAGGGACCACCTGGCTCTGCAGTAGTCCCTCCACAAAACGTGAGTTAAAGAGATAGGTCTCTCAGCAGTAGCCGATTTGGGCAGCATACAAACTTGTGTCAGGAGAAACTGCTGCGGGACTCGGAGGCCTCTTTCGAGCTCCTGATAAAATTCAGCGATGTCCTGAAGCATTGGCCAAGTCAATTTCTTGAGAAGGGACTTGCTCCAGCCGTCCGGTCCTGGGGCAGTGACCCTGCCTTTGGAAAACCTTTGTTGCAGCTGTTCCGGGGAAATGGGGCTCAGGGTAGCGACCTGCTGAGCAGCCAGTTCCCGTAGCTTTCCGCGAGCCTGTTGCTCTGCGTGTGGAAGAGGAGGAAGGTCCTCAACTCTAAGTACGCCTTTCCAAGTGCGGAGCCATAGTTTGGTTCTAGCCAGGGCGCGGACCTCTGCGGACAGATCCCGAAAGGGACGTGCAGTGGTGATTTCACCTTTTTTGATCGTCTTGAAAAGGGGGGCCATCCCTTTTTCTTGGGCTCCCTGCAACCACGACCTGTACGACTTGGTCTGGGCATCCTGGTGAACTTTAGAGGCCAGCAGAAATTGCTCCTGCAATAATTGCTGGACGGGCTCGGGAACAGCAGCCTGCTCCGAGAGACAGGCCTGGAGCGTAGAAAGAAAAGAAACAGCCTCCTCCGAGTTGCCCTGCCAGTGGTCCAGGATCTGCGGCAAATACTCCTGGCATTGCTCTCGACGTTTGGGGTGGTCTCCCTGGCACAGAAATTGTACCCGGTGCCAAAAAGCCTGGCAAGAACCTTCCCATGCGAACTGGGACATGCGAGGAACAGCTGGGAGGAATTCAACTTGGAGTTGGCGACCAATACCCTGGGACGATTGCAAAAGACTGTGCTCAACCGAACTGGAAATGGAAGCCAGTCGATTGCTCAGGGGGTCAGCCGAAAAGGTGGTATCCGGCAAAGAGGCGAGGGTCTCCTCAACCTGTATGTAATCAAGCGGTTCTTCCCTGAAGGAAAGCACAAAGGAGGGAAGCTGTGGAGTGGTGAGCTGGAAAGCGCCCACATTGAGGGCAACTTGGATTGCTGCATGTGGCTTGAAAGGAACATCCCAGGAGGCATCAACCCGGAGCAAACCTTCCAGGCAGTGTGATACAGCCAGAAAATCAAGCTCATTGTCACCACAGGTGGCTTTGTTGGGCCCAATTGGTTCCAGGGACAAACTTTGAAAAATGGAAGTGTCCAACAAATCCTTCAAAGGCGAGTTCCAGTCTCCACCTATCAGGATTGGGCCCCTCACAGATTGACGAATTGCGCGCAGAGATGCAAGGATGTCAGAGTTGACCGGGGACCCGAAGCCGGAGGAAGACTGGAGGTACAGGCTAACTACTGTCAAGTCAGCCCCTTGTGTGCGTAGCGTCACCGCCACGTAGCCACAGCCTTGGTTGGTATACTGACCTCGCAAACGGGCTCCCAGGTGGGCTCTAACTAAAACCCCAACTCCGCCTCTAGAGCTATTCCGTCGGCCTTCCCCAGGGGCTGCGGGCAAAAGGAAGGAGTCGAAGCCCATGGCAGCCATAGACGAGATTTCAGCAACAACTTGGGACTCCAAAAGATGGTGCTCCTGAATCAAGATAACATCCCCTTGAGCTGAAAACCATTGCTTGACTTCTGGTCTCCAAGAAGTAATGTTGCAAGATGTGACTCGCATTTGCCTGTGCCCCTGTGGCTGCGATTTGCACAAAACTTCAAAGCCCCGAGCAACAAGCAAGAGCAAAGTTAAGTCAAAAGAACGTTGGAGGGCCAAGATCTCCTGGCACAGCCACCAACCTAAGCTGCCCTGCTCAACCTGATCAAGAAGGTGGCCAACCACCTCTGAAGTTGCTCCCAACAGATCTGGGTTCTGGACAGCCTCCCACACCTGGCCTTCGAGCGTTCGCCACTGGCTGTGTGGGCTTGCCAAAGGTGGCACCTCAGGTGGCATTTCACAAGGGGCAAGCTGAGAGAAGGGTACCCTAATGTGTTTGGGCTTTTTCGCTCTGCGTCTGGTTTTATTACGTTTGCGGGTGACCCCAACCTCGGCATGGCTCCCCGACGCCTGTAAGCGAGGAAACTCCTCAACTTGAGATGCCATTGCTGAGGTTGTGGCCACGAAAGCAGAGATTGGAGAAGCACCGGTCACAGGGACCTCATCAAACTCAGTTGTCGAGAAAGATGAGGGCCAGAACTGGGGCCCTGTGATGAGTTGGGTGTCCTGGGACTGCAGCGGGGTGCTGTGGCGCAATCCTTTGGTAACAGTCTGCCAGGCACTCAGATCCCCACAAGAATCCCATTCTTCCTGACCAGAAAAACCTGGTAACCAAAACTGACCCCATACAAGGTCTTGGTTGCAAAATTGTGAGTAAGCCTCAACATACCCTGAAACCTTCTCTAAGGACTTGGGCTGCTGAGGTTGGCACTCCCCCAATGAAAACAAATCACTGTACAAAGAAATGGGTCGCTTAACCGATTCGCCGGAAAACCCGCATGGCTGAGAGCTGGACGCAGGGGCACAGGAAACGTCTTGATCAAGCTGAAGGGCAGGCTGAAATGCACAAGCAGGTTGCCCACTCTCCCCACTTAAAGGACCTTCCTCGAAAACAGACCTAACCTGGACCCCCAGCCCCACTCCCTAACCTTGCTGCGTGCTACGGCCTCGGCTCCTGGACCTGGGCTTGGCTTGCTCATGCGGCTCAGTGCCCTTGTGTTCTGGCAGAGTTTGGCTCAGCGGGGCACGGGTCGGAGCCGTCAAACCAGGCTGGTTTGTGGCTTCAACTTCCATATTCTGCTGCCCATCATTAGGCTTGCCGCGCTGGGCCTCCTCGTAAAGCTCCTTCTGCTCCTGGGTCAGGACAATTCCAACTTTGGCAAGCGTATCTAGAAGCCCTTCCAAGGGATCGTCCTTGCGCGCGGGGTCCTCCAGACCCGAAGCATCAGCACGGAGTGTGGCTTCCAACTCCGACTGCATAGCCGTGACTTCAGCTTGTTTGCTCTGCAATTCAGATTGGCAAACCTTCATCTTCTCAAGCAGCTCCTGGTAGGTTGCTTTGGCGCGGTCTATGCGAATCTGTAAGGCAGCAGTTTGCTGGATCATCAGTCGCAAGTCCGTAGTGCTCTGCTTAAAGCGACGAGTTGCAATCTCAATCTGCTGAGTCTGCGTGGGGGCCGGAGGATCAAGTGCTGCAAGGGCTTGCTGGATCGAAGGCGGCATTGACTCCAAGTGCTTCTTGCAAAGGGCCGCAAGGTCTGTTGGCTCCGACGCAACCGGCTCAGGGATGCCAGCTTGGCGCATCAGCTTCTTCTGATCATCAGACGCAGAATCCCACAGGTTCTTAGAGGCTTCGGCCTGCTCGTCAAGCCCACCCTTTGCCCCGTTGCCTTTTCCAGACTGGAGGCCTGGAGGCGGACTCGGCTGCCGGCCTGCTTGGAAACCTGCCTCGCTCAGTTCCTTCTGGACCTCTGGGGGAAACTTCTGCCAAAGTGTCGTGACGGCTTTGGAGAGGTTGCCCTCTTGATTCCTAGGCCGTTGGGGGCTTTGGGTGGCACTCTCAGTGGTTGCGCTTCTGTCCCTGTTCTTCTTGGGACCCCGCGGGCGCAGTCTTTGAGTGACCGGAGCACCCTTGGTCTTCCATGCGTTGCCACACAGGTTGCAAAAGGGGTGGTGCTGGACTCTGTCTACGAAAATCCAGCTCTGCTTACCCGCCCTAGAGCAGTGAGGACAGACGATGTAGGGCGTTGCTGCACCCTTGGCACCGTTTTTTCCCCAAGTCATGGCGAGCAAGCTCAACCTGTGACAACGGCTGAGCAAGTGTTCGGCTTGAAAGCACGTGCAGTATGGCGCTACCCCGCCCCAACCCTTGCTGGACAGCCAGCCTACGACCTTTAAGGTTGCGGTTTGGGTTCCAGTCAGGGCCTTTAGCAAAAGTAGGGACTCCAGGCTAAAAGGCCACGTCGGCACTGCAAAGTCTGAGCCGAAAGCTTGAGCCAAATGGCTACTGTCTCGTCCCGAGGCAACCCGAAGGAGAGCCTGTAGCACCTCGAGGGACGCTTACGACTAAAAAGTGGTTGCCCTAAGAACACTGGTGCTCCCGGCACAGCTTGCGAAGGCAAATCTGCCGCTCTCCACGGTCAGATCCACAAAGGGGCCCTGCGTCTGGGGCGGGAGAAGACCAGTTCAACCAGCTCAAGAGGAACCTCACCTTTGAAGACACCGTCCACCACAGTGAAGGGAGGAAAAACGGACTAGTGCCTCAGCCACAAAGGCGAGGAGCCGAAGGTGCAGCACGAAGGCAAGGTCAGGGCACCTCGACAACTGTCTTCGTCCAAGCAAAACTTCCAGCGACCAAGAACCTGGTGAAGTGTACAACAGGAGTAGTGCAAGGACGGCAAGGATGTGCTATTGCGCTAAACTACTGCCCTCGACCGTCGGTCGGAACTGCCACTACCCCTCCCACGCGCCGAGCCCACAGGGGCAGGAAAAGCAATGGTTGGGTTTGAGCCTGTTACGGAGCCAAAGCACTAGCTACGGACTCGAGGCTGGGCGGCCACGACGGCACTGCAGGTTTGAGCACTCACAGCCTTGAGCCAAAATGGGATTTTCACACCCCCTCTTGGACTGATGCGGCACCTAGTGTCTTTTGAGCACACTTTACAAGCTCTAGACCTAGCTTTTCAGGATAGAACCCTGAATCTTTTAATTCCACCTGTACATGTTCATGCACTTGGTCACATTCCCTTTTAGGAAACACTTTGACCCAGCGTTTACTGTTCGTGGCAAAGTACCACCGTTTAAACACACAGTCGTACGCACAGCGGTCTACCACAATACCCTCAGAAAGCCCCAATTCTGAAGCAACCTGAAGATACCGCGGGTCCTTCCAGAGGTCGTTCTGCAGAGGCCACTCTTGAGTCAACAACAAGCGTTCACTCCGAGCAACCGGTTTCAACAAACCTTCAAGAAGTTCCCAAGCACGCTGATGCAACTTCTTCTTCTCTTCCCACTTCTCTTGACTGTACTTGCGCCACCCGCGGTAACGCAAACGACACCCAGTGGTACAGGGAGTGGAGATATGGCAGTAGATCTTCGTCTTCAAGCCACAACTCAACACAGAAAACAACTCCTTCAGAAAACACTGCGTCTGCTCAGAACAAAAGTCAAGCTTTTCAGTGATGCCCACATAGGCAATCTCAAGCTTCTCACATGCCTTCTGTAAGGCACTTTCTTCCTGGCAGAACAGTTCAACGACCACAAAGGTGACCTGGTTCTTCGCCACAGCTTCACACAGTGAAACGTACTCCTCAGGAACAAAAGAACGGTTTACCGGCTCTTCTGCAGTCAGGCGTTCCAGCTCAAACTCACCCAACTCGTCTTCAAAAGAAACCAAACCGGTTACCTCGTAGAGGTTGTCCAGCTGCTCCTGAAAAACCATACTCTTGGTCAGGCCGTCGGAGGCATTATATGCTCCGGCCACAAACTCGAGGATCACTCTCCCCGACTGAACCATCTGCTGCAGGAAAGCACACCGCAACTCCAGGTGACGAACCCTTCTCAAGAGTCCCTCCATTGAAGCAATCGCCTTTGCCGACTCAGAATCGGTACAAATCCGGATCCAAAAGCTTCCGGTATCATCCTCAGGCAATCCCTCCAAAAACGACTGTTGAAGCAACCCTGCAAACAAAGCCTCTTTCACAGTCTCTACCAAAGCACTCAATTCAGCCTCGGCACTGCTCAGGGCCACAACCGTCTGTTTACGGCTAAAACTCTTCAGCAGGTTGCACTGCCAGCAGATAATCGCCCCACTCACAGAGGGCAAATTCCAGCTAGCATCACAGAAACAATCGATCACACGCGTACTTTCCGAAGGGCGATAGTTCACCCACTGTGCCGGGATCCGCTGAACCCGATTCCCAAGCGTGAGAATCCAACGCAGCACAGCTCGAATACACGCTTCACTCCTGGAGTCTGGGTTGCTCTGGCTCCGGGCCAGAAAACCTACAACAAACTGCAAATCAGCTCTTGTCAAAGCTAGCCACGACAGTTTGCCCAACACGCGCCGGTAGCGCTGATAGGCCTCATGCGTGATCGGGGTGGATTCCAGACTGGTCCACAAACGCTCAAGCTTGGGGAGTTTCGCTCCCTTCGTGATTTGATACTCTTCCGCACAGCTATGGAGCATCCCGGGTTTGAGTCCGAAGTACAAGTCTCCGGTCTTCCTCTGATAAATGTTTCTCCCAAGGAAGGAGATCACCGATTTCTCTCCCGGTTGAAGCGTTCCCGTGCGCTTCATCTTGAACACTTTACTCAGTTCCTCAAACACTTTCTCAGCTACACTCGCAACCGTGCTGAAAACCAAGATGTCATCTACATAGGCCAACACCAACACAATGGCATCCTTGCCTTTCTCCTTGATCACCTTGCGATACACAGTGCTGTCAGCAGTAACAAAGAAACCAAGTTTTCTCAGTGTTTCTCCTAGCTCACGAAACCAAGCCAAAGGCCCAATCCGCAAACCATTCATGGCACGCTTCAGCAGACAATGCACACGTTCACCTGACACTGTCCTACAGTTCTCCGGCAGCTTCACCACCTCAGTAGAAAACAGCTTAGCCTGCATGAAGGCCACAGAAATATCTCCCGAAATCACCTTCCCTCCGAAATGCGCATACATCCCCAACAGACACCTCACAGACTCTAAGGTAGTAGTAGGAGAATAGATGCCATCAGCTAAAGCAGAGGTGGGCCCTTTAAAGTCACGCACAACCAAACGGCAGCGCACACGCTTGTGCCCGTCCTTGTAGTGCAACACCCACCTGGTGGAAAGCACTCTCCTCTTAGCTTCCCGCACAAGGCGAAACGCCTCCTTCTCAGACACAACCTGGCACACACCAAAGTGGTCCAGTTCCTCCATTTCAAGACGCATCCCTTCCCCAAGTTTCTTCTCCTCAAGAACCTCCCCAGTATACTCATCAGCAGCCCCAGAAGGAACCTCAACCTTCACCTTGGACCCTCCAAACTTCAAAGTAAACTCCAACTTGGCCGCCCTAGACCCTTTAGCGTCCTTTGCCGCGAACACAACCTCAGGTCTAGAACACATGGAGTACAAAGCATGGTCCTCCAGCCAGCTGATCGCCACCTCCATGGGGTCATCATCGTCGGCCGGCTGCATGTCCACATCGTACAAAGGTGGGGCCTCGTTCTCTCCTGCAGGGGGACCTTCAGGGAGTACCTCTTCCTCCTCAACTGGAGAAGGATCATAGTCCATAAGCTCATCCTCCAAGAGCTCAGCTGGAGCCTCCGGCTCCGCACTCCCCCTCTCAACTAGATTACCCTTAGGCTCTCCAGGCTGAAAGGCTTCGGGGGGCTTCAGGTCTAAGGAAACAGGACGCTCTAAAACGTTGTCTTGCCTAGAAGGGGCACCCGAATCAGCGGCTTGTACCACCAACTCCTCAGGATACAGGTAAGGCTGGTCCGGCCGAAAGGCCGACATCACCTCGACCTCATCAGGCCGATCAAGAGGGAGCACACGCACTCCTCCACCATTGGGCTTAGCAGGCCCTAGGTACATACACGGGATGAGGCGGCGGCCTCGATTCTCAGGCTTCTGCTTCGCAGGTTTGGCAAAACCCTTGCACCCAAAAGGAAACGTCTTCGTTACTGGAAGATGTTGGCGTCTCAGCCTTTCAATTGGCGTGGTTTGCGACTTCGAGGTCGCATGCAGGTTCCTTGTCCTAGCAACATATCTCAAAGCTTCCTTGTACAACAAACCACCCAGCCGGAGCTTCTTCTCCAGCGTAGTTTCTAGCGTCAACCAATTCACCCAGAAGGCTTCCTTCAAGTGTCGCACACCTACCTCCACAAGCCCTTTCGACTGCGGCCGTCCTTTCGGCACCGCGTCTATGTGCAACGAGAGGCCTGGGTATGAGCGGTCTTTTCCCACCTTGTTCCAAAGCGAGATCAGAGACGCTTCATTATCCATCCTCAGCACAACATGCTGACCTTGAATACCTGCGGCGGCCAGCTCGGCGTTTATACACCGTGCAACATGCCCTGGATCACCTCCTGTGGAGTAGGGCACAGCGAAACAATATCCGCTAAGCTCGTGCACCACAATGCACACTCTCAGGTCTTTCGTAAAGAACAAGAAGTCGCTTAAGAAGCTTGCTTGCGGAATTGAAGGATCTTTGCGCCTTCGCGCTGGAATCACTCCTCGACTGGACACACACAAAGAACACGACGGCAGATAGGGCTGATGGCCCCGAGCAACGTGCTCCTGATACTCTTTATCCTCCAGTGGAACATGAAGTTCCCCTTCTTCAGAAATATCCCCAGCATCTTCAGCAGCAGGCTCGGCTTCAACAACCGGTGCTGGAGCTGAGGCTTGGGCGGGTTCCGCCTGCCTTGGTGGATCACCATCCGGAATCAACTCTTCATCGGAAATCGTCACTTCCACCGGAAGTCCACGCATCATGCACAAACGGTGTGGCGGCTCAGACACTTTCTCATCACAGCCACCTTTCACCTTCAAAGGCTCCGACCTTAGGTCATCCCAGCCACAAGCACAACACAACCACAAGCCACGCACACGCTCCAAGCCACAACAGCACAAGGACCGCAGACGCCGCACACCAAACAGCACAAAACACTCCACGGCTTCAGAGGCTCTCGGTGCTTTGCTGGCTCGCGGTGCTTCGGGGGCTTTCGGTGCTTTGCTGGCTCGCGGGGCTTCGGCTTTTGGTGCTTCGGGGACTTTCGGTGCTTTGCTGACTCTCGGT